GAGCGCTCAGTATGATTGGTTAACACTTTTAGATCCTTAATATGATTGGCTGGATCTAAAAGTATTAACCAATCATACTGAGCGCTCACTCAACAGTTGTGTCTGCTGAACGCGGCCATTGGCTGCGTTCGGCAGAAAAAGCTGCTTTGCAACTGTTGTAAAATTCGTGAATCTGATTGGTGTGTTCTCTTATGCCGAACGTAGCCATTGACAATAGTAAATATAGACTGAGCGTTCTCCATTGAATAAGCCGAAGCTTGTGAATGGAGAGACGGAGAAGATTTAACAAGACTTTCCTTCTCTGTCTCACCTGTGGTCTCACTATCGAGACGGAGGCGCGATTCTTTTCTTTTACGATGGTGTAAGAGAAAGAGAGTCTTCTTAAATCTTCTCTCTCTCTCTCGCTCTCTCTCTCTCTCTCTCTCTCTCAGCTTGTTCAACGGGACGCTCAGTGTATATTTACTACGTCTATGACGGGAATTGTCAGGGACAGCGAACGCGCGATCCGAGGTCCGACGACTCCGACGAGGCGTCTTCACGCTTTATGTAAAACAGCTCGTTAATTAATCGAAGCCAGAACTTAAGAAATCTGCATCTGTCCCTGGATTTAAAGGCGCACGGTGATTCCACGATCCGTACAAGGTTATTGAGTCGCGTTAAATTTCTTTATTCCAGTCTTTTAGGTTATAAAGTCGCGTTTAAACAATGCGAACTAAGGGCCTGAGCCCTGTTTTAAATCCTTGTCTTAAAGTTACGCACAATAACTGTCTGGCGAGATAGCCATTTCGCTCAGGCCCTCGGTGTGCTCTCGGTGTGCACTAGTGCAAGCAACCGAATTCGCCATAAACAAATGTCTCGGAGGTAAACTGCGTCAAGTTACGAATCTAAATTTTACTGTTGTCCGAAGGTCCTCCCTCGAATTAAAGGCTGGTCTACAATACATGGAGTAAGCTGGAGTAAGCTGGAGTAAGGAGTAGGAGTAAGGAAATAAATCCATTTTATTTCCTTACTCCTACTCCTTACTCCAGCTTACTCCATGTATTGTAGACCAGCCTTAATATCTCGCCAGTTTGACGTCAACGCTCGACCTTTCTCAGAGTGAACTTTTCCACTAAATGGTATTCTTTACTTTTCCTCAGTGTCCTCTAGAAGAAAAGAAGTAGTCGCTCCGTGCTGTACCACAGTTGATTTCTGATAAGGAAGAGGACGTGATACATCGCCATTTAACAGCAGGTCTGTAAGGCTGTGCACGTAACGCTAAGAGAACCTGATAAGTTAATCTATAAGCCGATACAGTGATGGACAGAATAGTTGCGACACTTTTTTTTAAATTACTTTAGGAACATACATTTAGATTCAGGGTTGCACTCCAAAATTGTCTCCGAGGAATATTTTACTCGATGACCATTTCAAAACCATTTTGAGCGTTTTCGATCTATTTCTCGAGTAAAATTTTCCTCGTAGAAATGTTTTGGAACATGAACCTAACTCTAAATGCGTGTCCCATTAAAAAAAGTGTCGCCATCTCTGCCCATCACCGTACAAATCTCGTATTTAATAAAAAAAGTATGGCCCAACACTTCTCCGAGACACTGAAATTTTTTTCCCTTGGCGTTCGATATCAAATAGAATATTAAAGATTTGGAGACCAGTGTCCACCACATTATTGATACAATATTTAGTACCTAATCCTCTAATAGTACTCTTAGATTATCGTTCATACAATGTGTAAAAGATAACTAGGTACCAATTGTTAAGTAGGGAACTTTGAAAAGTATCCGCGCTGCATGTAGATTGCGTGTTGAAGAATACAACGTACATTATCAAAAGACGTTGTTTCAGCAGATATGAAAATGGAGCAATTGCAGGCTAATAATACAGCGACAAGAATGGATCAGTTGCAGACGGCGCTGACCGCCATCAAAGTTCTCCGTTCTAACGTCGGGCAGGTGTTTGAGTCTCTTGGAAATGGCTTGCGGGCGGAGCACGGGGAGGAAACTAAAGAGTCCAAGTATTTGTTCGAGTTACAGGAACTGTTCACCACTGTGAATCATAACTTGAGGTAATTAAGTAGAGTCCGAGATCGAGTCTCGGCTCTACAAAGGACTATCGTGTGGGACAAATATAATTTTTGCGGCTTTGAAACACCGCAGGGACGTAGAACAGGCGATAAATAGTTTGACACCGCCGCTCGGTCCGTTCAATCTGGCCAACACGACGTATCTCAATCAGGAAACCACGCAGGAAAGACAGGCGCTGTACAGCACGGTCGTCAATAGTTACAAATGGACGGATAAGGTCCACGAGTACAGCACCGTTGCCCATTGCTTGCTCAATCAAAACACGCTAAAGAGATCTTACGCGTATGTGAGTAGTAGAGGAAAGAGGGGAAGATTCCCACCCAGCAATCACAATGTACCTCAATCGTAAGTTGTTTTGCTCCATTTCCACAACGTATAATTGGTGATGTTGAAAGTAATAACATGGGTTTTAACATGCACAGGCAAGTTGACTCTACGATATCGACGTTTGATCGACTGTTCCCCGACATAACGGTGACCGTGACTCGTCCACTTGCGTCAAATGCGATATTACACATCACGCTGGGACACATCATGAAAGCAGTGCTAGTATTTAAGGGACTGATGATCGAGCGGGTGGTAGTCAAGGGTTACGGCGAAACGATAGACCTATGGACGGAGTCTAGGTACAAGGTCTTCCGCAAAGTGACGGAGAACGCGCATGCCGCGATGTTGCACTTCCACTCCCCCGCGTTACCCGAGTTAGCGTTGCGGTCGTTCATGGTAAGCAACGGCCCATTAATAATCCTGGACGCGCGGTACGTTGCGATCGCTATCACGCTTTTCTCCCCTTTTCAGACGTGGCTCCATAGCTTGAACCATTTGTTCAGCAGCCCGTGCAAACGCTGCGGCTTGCATCTGCACAGCGCCCTTCCTCCGACTTGGAGAGACTTCCGAACTTTGGATCCTTATCATCAGGAGTGCAAACCATAAGGTACAGGCTTTTCAGAGTTTGTGTTTTAGGCGAATAATCAATCTTTGGACGAACTTAGCGGTAATGTACGGTACTAAAGCGTAATAATACTTAATACTTATATTTTATGAATGTATTTATTAGTTGGAATATTATATATACTAAAATAATGAAGTTATAAATAAAATCTTCGTCTCGATACGTCGCACTAATCGCTAAATGATCTCGCGACATTACGACAAGATATTCTCCTTTGGTTTTTGTTCTTCGAGGGATGTGGTGACGAGGCAAGTAAAACATTTTCACAGAGAATGTAAGGGCTTTTATAAAAAGAATTCAATTACATAACATTTAATAAATGCAAGTCGCACAGAACATCGCGCGTTCTATGAGAGAAGAATTGCAAAGTATCAGACGGTACATCAATCCGAAACAACATACGTCGTGTCACGCGGCACTGCCGATCGCGCTCAGGATAGAAAGCTGATTAAATATACGACTAGATCTCTCGTCGGATCTGTTAATAGTGAACGCTTTTTCTCTTTTAATCCGAAACTTATGATTACACAGATAAAAATAGACGCCCCTTGTTTCCCATTTGTAGAAGCGAGACGACGAAAGGAAAGTATAATCGAACTTGATTATCGATCAGCGGAGAGAATTGATGTCGGTGCTAAACTTTTAATATCGTAATATACAAATGAGCGGGCGCGTAAACGGTTTTTTCTTTCTTTTCCTTGGAGTAGCTCTGCGATCAATGTGTATTTTTTTTTTATTCCTTGTTACCTATATCCTACGTATGTATACCACTCTTAGTGTCGTTTACATGCTATTTAGTTTTACATAATGCTAATTAGTATCATATGTAAATATAATTACGTTGTATTATAATATACTTTTCACATAACTGTACACATTCACATCTTGGAATATTGGGCGCCCCCCTAACGGGCGCAAGTCGTTTGAAGTCGTGAACTCTGTTGGCAGTGAACTTATTTTACATCGTTATCGTTATTGTAATCACTTATTTTGGACTCGAAATTTCTCGCTTATTCTTTTTCTTTCTCTCTTTTTTTTTCCTTGCTTTCCTTGAAGGCTAATGTTTGTAATACTCAATGAGTTTTTAATATTGTATCATTGACTCAAAACCATCGATGCGATCATTGCTTATCTTCTTATCAAAGTCGTGATGAGTGCGAAATACATTATTAGGTCTTCGCGTTTAAAAAGTAGTCGTCTTTATAATATATGCATATATGTATATATGTATACGTTATTACAATCTTTTTTTTAGAAACGAATTATTTGTTTATATTATTATATGTGAGTCAATTACAGTTACGTGAATTCGTTTGCGGCGTAAGGGCTGAGAAGGGCCTTTCCGTTCGCGTCCTCTCGCAACGAGGGCGACGCGGTTCCCGCGTATACGCGCGCGGACGGAAAGCGCCTTTCGTAAACTCGCTTACGGGTCTCGCGTTGACTTTTACATATACGGCATACTGCATCTCGAGGGTAAAAATTGCCGCGCGTGTGTGTATGCGTGTGTTTGTGTGTAAATGATATATCGTTTTTGGTGCCGATGTGATCTGTCTTTCGTGAACACATATCGCAGCATGCCTTTTCTCTTTTGCGAGGTGGTGGTCGAAAGAAGGGATTGCCCCGTAGGTTCGTCGCGGCGCAGACGGGATAATTTCACGGCCACGACAAAATACCGTACGGGCTCGAAGTATTTTTTTAAATATTTTTATTAACGTAAAAATTCGCGACCGGCTCGAGCCAAAATAATCGCACGGGTACCGCGTTTGGTATAAAGCTTGCGATGATTTTGAAATGGAGATATAATGGTGATGCATGTACTCGCGGTCCGCGATATAATTATCGTACAGCCATCGCAGAGGTGTGTGAGAGAAAGATAGAGGGGGGGGGGGAGAGAGAGAGAAAGAGAGAGTTTATTCGCCTGTCTCGGTGAAGTTTCCAATTATATTTTAATTAGCGCGTTCACGCCGTGCTACTATCGCCTAGTAGCTATATATAGTTTCTATATGTATATACGCCTCTATCCTAGCTTTATCGATAATTAATATAGTATTCTGAATTCTCTGATAATACTCATAATGCAAGGAAATCTACTTTATCATATCTTGTTTTTTCGGTTGAATATAGCTTTATTGCCTTTCTCACTGATTCTGTATGTTTTGGACAGCTTATAATTAAAAACTTCCTTGGCTGCTCGCTCGAATGATATCGTACGATTGCGTTTTGCACGGGATTCCGTCTGAGGATTGTGTTTTTTCCGTCATTCGGTTAGTCTCTCTATCCTAAATGTCGTATTGCGTTTACATCGCGACATTCGAAACAACGTGTCGATCCAAGCCGCGTTTACCACGCAAAGTTAAGCTGCTCTGACAGAAATCATCGGGAAGTCATGCCGTAGAATTGAAATTCCAATCGTCGAAAAGCAAGAGTCGACTGAAGCCTCCTTGGCTTCTTGTTCCTTTCCACATTTAACATTTGTATTATTTACAGACGCGATTAGATAAATTGTCTTGTTCCACTCGTGAAATAAAGCCTGGCGGCACGAAATGAGAAGAGACGTTGCCAATTTTACTCGAAGAATTGAATTCCGTGAGGAGGGACGGATAGAATGAAATAAGGAAAACTCGAAGGGACTTGTAGACCGATCTCTGTGATGATTCATGACTCGCGACCGTGCACGATAAATAATCGTCGATTTCTGCAAGGTGGTCCGATTTGGATACAGGCTAGCGCGATTGTCGGATTAACGTTAATTAAATTCGTTAATTAAACCATTCGTTACTATCGGCAGTTGAAGAGGCGACAGAATAAATCATCTCCCGATACTCGGATCTACACCCGACTCGGCTACGGTTCTACGAACGTTCGCGGTTACTCGTACGTGCAACGTAAAATAGACAAATAGAAGCCACATGCGGAATGTGATCGCCGATCTCGTTGGTTCGTGCTATCGCGAGAGAGGGAGAGAGAGAGGGTTTCTCGAAAGAGCCCACGATGCTCGATCGACATCGATATCTCCGTCGTGGTACCGTTCGCTTCTTTTTTTATATATTTTTTTAAGGAAACCTAGAACGACTCTGAGTCAGTGGAGATACACGCCTGTCCTCGTTTTGTCGCTCCTCGATAATGCTACTTTAGCAGGGAACGGAGTACGCTATATATTTCCGGTTATACAGGATTATCATACACTTTGGTGTGTGGTTCAGTGACGTCTCTCAAGTAGAAGTATACAAGTATATACACACGTATGTACAGAACGTAGGGGAGGGATCGCCGTCTCCCGCGGAGTATCCCGAAATATCGAATCGCGTGCACTTCCGTTAAAAAGATCGATAACGGGGAGGGGTGGAGGGAGAGGAAGAGAGATCAATGACGGAGTAAGAAAAGGCATGCCTTTGCGCAGACTGGCCGCTGTTATTGATTATCTCGATTCGGCCGAGAAGGTATGTCGATTCCTGTCGCGGTAAAATGCACCTGCAATCGGATCGCGTGTCGCCGATCGTGAATTAGCGCGCAAGTTGGGGTGAAAGTTTTGAAGAATTTACGTCTTGAGGAAAGAGACACGGGACCCTTCGGACAGATCTGTTTTTACTCGCATATTTCCCACGATATTCCCGGGGGTTTTCATTTAATTCCTTCGCTCGCCGATCTTTTGGGGGACTCCAGAAACGTATTGCTGCAGGAATATTCGGTTCAACTGAGGAATTGACACGTCCACTAGGCCGAAGCGCGCTGCGTAGTGTTACCCTGCGTTTCATGAGATAATATATGGTCGATTGGTTCGTGAGTATACACTGCGGTCGAGAGGCACCGTACGAGTCCGACGTGATCGCGAACGTCGTCGAGATTGCGGCTAATCGAAAGCTAAAATCCGGTGTAGTTTCTTTTGACATTAATTTAATGCAGTTGGTCGATGCCCAATTTGAGATTTTCGACACGAGAGTCGCTATACTTGTTCGTTAACGCGCTGTTACACACCGCGATTTGTAAAGGCAAGTGTTCCTTCTCGTCCCGTCTACCGGTTACGGAGATTTCAACGAAAAATCGCCTGGCCTCCCCCTCAAAGCGAACCTCCCGATGAGATAGGCAGATTAAGAGGGATCGGTAGAAATTCGTTTTGATCCCCCTTAATTCCTTGGCGCTTTCACGAAACACACCCTTGAACGACAAATTATCTATCGGTTTTAACGAATCCTCCCCCTTAAAAACGTCGGAATCATCAGGCTCGTCGTTCGCTCGTAAATTAATTGAGACTACTCCATTCGCGAAACGAGCGAATACGCGGAACACTTCCGTCCCTCCGGCGATCAGCGTACACTCGCTCTCGATAATTCCGTGATCGAGCGCCGGAGATGACGAAAAGAAAATATCACAGTGTCTCGAGGGCAGCTCGTAATCTTTTAAAGTTGTCGCGGAATTATATGGCAGTCGCGCGCACAGTACGCCATCATCGTCCGTCGTCGTCGTCGTCGTTGTCGTCGTCGTCGTCGTCGTCGTCGCGGAAGTAACAGCGCACGGTCTAATAATTACACAACACGGTGCGGTGAATCGTACAGAGGACAGTGTGATACAAAAACGACACGTAGTCCCGACATGAGTCCTAGAAAATTAATGATATAAAAGTGAAGATATATAATATAGATACACGTTCGCCCCGGTTCCGTGGACGAAGGGGTTGAACGACGACGGGGGGGGTGAACCGGACGAAGAGCGTCCTCCTCCCGTTTCGCCGTGCCCGACGACCCTCCTCCCCCCCCCCCGGGCGTGCGCGTCCGCCGATATTCACATTTCGATATCCTTCGATGTTCGCACCGAGTCCCCTCCCCCCCAGGCGCACTCGCGTAGTGCGTGAGATCGCGACGCGGCAATTCCCAGAATCACGTTCCCCTCTTCCCAAGCTCTATCTCGTCTAGGCACAAATCACTTTCGCAACATTTCGGGTTAATCTATCTCGATCGCGCGCTCGTGCCATCGTCCATCGTTAACGGTACGCGCGCTGCTCCCCCCCCTCCGACTCGAGGAAGAGAGCCTTCCGCTTTCACCGAGAGGATCATCTCGCATCCGCCGTCGTCCTCGAGACTTGCCCCGCCGAGCGCAGCCGAGCGCCGATCTCAGCATCCCTCGTAGCGTACTTATTCTCTTATTCCACCCCGAATTTCTATTTATCGCCGCCAAGCACCGTCG